GATATAAGCTCATCCCGATGTTACACTCATCAAGACCTTTCATTTGAGTACCCACATCAATTTTTCATATATTTATATATATTATGTATATGTTTATAAAAAAAATATATAAAAATGCATGTGGGTACTCAAATGAAAACTCTTGATGAGTGTATCATCGGGGTGAGCTTATATCTTTAAAATATATATTATATAAATGAATATATGAAAAATATATCAAAAATGCATGTAGGTACTCAAATGAAAGCTCTTGATGAGTGTAACATCGGGATGAGCTTATATCTTTAAAAACGTGAATAGTTAAGAAATTACAGTGAAATTTAACAAAAGTCATTATTTAATAAAGTAAAATTTGATTTTTTCACATGGAAAAAATTAAGAGTGTAATTTAATCATTTTTTAACAATATTGCACGCCTCATAAGCGAAGCGTTGAGGTTGTGCTCTACTCTCGACATTTCAAAAAAAGCAGTTTTCTTGAACCTGAAATTGATTTTTTGTTATTTATATCGCACTTACAGGTTAATATGAGTACAATTATATCAATTCAAATAATTTGTCAGGCCCATAAAATATATTTCAATAACAATTTTTTTGTTTAACATAGTAAATAATAAATTCTAATTTAAAAAAAAAAAAAGTAAATAATAACATTAAACATAATCTTTTCTGGACGTCCGTGTATGGATGGGTGTATGTGGCAGGGAAATTGGTCGAAAAAATGATCGTACCGGAATAATTTTTCTTTTATTATCTAAAGTAACACACGACGGAATTTCTCAATTAATATGAGCGTTGAATTCACTTTCGTTAAATTATTATTTATAAAAAACTAATATATGACTGTGGATTTTTTTGTATATCTATCTATACATTTTATTATAGTATTTTTTTTCCTCACCTTAGAGTTATGGCGCCACTGAACCATAGCAGAGTTTTCTGTTTTTTATTACTTTCCTTTTTATCTTTTATTTTATTTTAATCAATTTTATTGTGAAAAATGAGATTATGAGGCGTGCACTTTTGGATGTTCCGAACTTTTTTAATAATTAATTTGAATGAAAATTACGTCAAAATTTCATTTTTTTGCATGGAAAAAATTAAAAAAGTATTATTAAATTATTTCATTTATAAAAAAAAGAAATTTTTTTAATTTAAAAAATAAGGAAATTTATTTTTGCTATTAAATAAGTGATAATTATTATCATAAAATTATCACTTTAATGCGTAAGAACTTTCGACTAAGTTAGTCACCAAAAAACTTGATCCTTCTTCCCGGAAATAATTTTTAAATGCATTTAACATACAATGACACATAAAGTTATTTAAATAAAAAAATTCTAAAGATATTTTTAGACAGAGTATTGTGGAAAAAAAATATATTGTCCGGTAAATGTTTCTCTGGGGAAAAAAATCCAATTACTCAGACGTGATCAAGCTTAAACTGTCGGGAGGCATCATACTTCACGCATGATTAATTTTTTTAATTTAGAAAAAAATTTATTTCCTATTAAGTCTTTAATCGAGTGCTTAATTGTATTTTATTCGCTAAAAAATATAATAACAATAGTAAAAATAAAAATACAAAGCGACAAATATTTATACTGATGAAGGAAGAAATAAAGAGGAGCAGGTTAATTAAAAAGTTAAAAGTCGCCGCTGGTTCCTTGAACTAAAATTTTGATATAACATCGAGCAGAGATTTAAAAGGAAGAGGGAGAAAATGATAAAATACAGTGGGCGTACAGATATTTTCTTTGTTTGGTGCAGGTGTAGGGTGCAAACACTTAAATTGAATTTTTTACCGTGTTTTCTTTTACTTTGTGAGGCCTCTGACTTTCTTGTTCTCGTTCGAGGCGAGTTCGATGTACCTGCAAGAATAAACAGACGTAAGAAATAATAATAATGTTAAAAGAGTTACTACGAAGGAGTAAATAAACAAAAAATAAAAACAGAAAAAGGGAGTCATTGTCTCTTACCGGTGCGATTAATAACCTCTTCAGAGTTCTCGAGGGTTGTATGAACTTTATGTTTCACCATATGCTCGCTGTTGATCCATGGTCATTAATCCACAAGTTTTTTCAATTTTTTTATGTTTTATCTTTCTGATTTAATGCTACTTTATCACTGACATATGTAACAGATTGTATTATGTCGTCATTTCACAATAATTACAACGTCAAATATATTCCGAGAATCTTGTTATTACCAATTGTTAAATTTTTAATTTGTTTTATTTCAATAAAATAAGTACTATAATATGTTTATATAAAGTTTAATTTAATAAATTTAAACCCAAAAAAAAATTCAATATTTTTTAAATGATTTAAATTAAATTTAAATAATTAGAAATAAATTTTAATAATTAAAAATTTATTTACGCAAGCTTAATTATTAATTTCACGATTTGAAAAAAAATTCTTACGCTTTATTTTTAAAGCAAAAGAATTTAAATTAGTAATATTACTGTTAAATAATTTAAAACAATTTCCCAAATTCCTTAAAGTTTATATAATTAATAATTAATTATTAACTAAACAACTTTGAGGAATTAAACCGGTAAATATTTATTCTAGAAAGAGGTGAAAAGGTAATAATAAAATAAATTATTCATAAATATTATTTAATTTTCTTAATTAAATATCCGAGATGTTTTACGTGGATTAAATATCTAAAGTTTTATTAACAAAGTTTTATTTCCGGGAGGATTATTATTTATACACCATACGTCAAACCGCATAATAATTTCAAGCAATCAAAAATGATTTTTATTAAAACAAAAAAACATTATCGCACGTGGATCCAGTACAGGAAAAAGTTTTATCCCCAAGTAGTATTGGTACATATTTTAGTATAGTATTTATATATTTATAGGTGAATGAAAGCTCGAGAATGGAGGGAGTGAAAATAGCCGGTGAATTGATAGCAAGAGCCGCTGTGATTGGCTATTCCCTGCGCAAAAAGTAACCCGAGGGTGCGTAGTACAAGGGTTACCATTCAACCTACGTACACTCGTATATATATTTACCAAGGATATATATATATGAAGGATAACGCGGGACATTTCTTCTCACCGTTATATCTGCAATCGTCGAGTCAGCATCTACCTCAGTTGCAGTTTATTGCAGCTTGGAAATTTTTCATTTTTTTTTAAGTACTTGCAATCATTTTTTTTTAATTACTGTTCTTAAAATATAAGTTTAAAAAATTGTTTTTTTTCTTTTAAGTGGTTCAAATTAATTCAACAGGTAAGTTGTAAAATTTTTTTATTTTTTGTGGATTAGTGTAATTAATTTTTAAGCTAGTAGTGTTCAAAATTAGTGCTTTAAATTTTTTATCGTATTAATTATTCAATAAAAAATTTATATAAATATTTTTCACTAAAAATGTGATGTGATGTGCCGTGAATTTTCAAGTGACACAACTCTAATTAAATTAATTAACCGAGAAATTTTTACGATACTTTTATTATCGTTAGAAAAAAAATAATTAACTCTCTAAAAATATAAACAAAGTTAATTAAAAGTCAACAAAAAAAAAAATTGTACAAACAAATACTTATCTAACAGTAATATATATATTATTTATAGTATAAAGTATGACAATTGTGTCGCGGTTTGTATATTTATAGTACAAATGGTGGTAACATATGATGTTAGAAGTAAACTTTGTTAATATAACTGAGTATTGTTTGTACAATCGATTTCAATCCCGAATAACGGATGATCCATCATCTTGAAATTTAATTATCAACCAAGACAATTGTCTATTAATTCAATTTTATTTATAATATATTATTACACATTGATCTACACTGTCAACTATAATCATTAAAAATAATTTACTATTTTTAAAACTAAAAAAAAAAAACAATTTGTTCGATATTAACAATCTAAATTTAGTTGATGGGTACAATGACATTAAAAGTATACTTTAAAGTGGTGCGTTAATAATTCAATAACAAATTGACGATATTGGCTTCCGGGTTTTCGAGACTCATAAAAATGTCAGTTTATAGTCTACTTTTAAAATTCTAAACCCACATAATTATTAATAAATTTTAAAAGCAACAAAAATAGCTTATTTTTTATCCTAATGACCAAACAAGTGTTTGAATTTGTATAAAATTGAGTTATTGGTTTGCGATTGATCAATATCGTTTCCATTAATTTCTTCCACCCATGGTCCACTTTCGTCGCAGTGAACGTTGAATTTAAAGTCGCAGACCTGCTCTTTGGGGTTGAAGTACAAATCTTTCGGGCAGTCCATCACCCAGGCGTTTCCAAAAGAGCATTTGCAAAATTTGGTGCAGTCCTTGTGAGCCACGTGCACGGTTTCATTCTGAGGATTCGTTAACGGGCATGGTTTTACGCAGTCTGCTGTAGAAGCATTTTGTTTTCTGTAATTTCTGGTGAATTCAATTTTTGGAAGGTCTTTTTGATTTCCCGTGCATCCTGCTGACTCAGGGTAATCACAAACTTCAATAATTGGATTGTAGTGAAGAGAGTGAGGACAAAGCATAACAGTAGGTTTACCCCAATCGCACTTACAAAATTTGGTACAATTAATATGCGGCAATTGAGATGTATGCACTGGATTATTATTTAAAGGGCATGTACCAATGCAACCTGAATTATCTGGTTTTTCTGGGGGAATTGCTGTTGGAGGTGTTGGAGGTTTAGGTGTTGTAGGTTTAGGTGTTGGAGGTGTTGGAGGTGTTGTAGGTTTAGGTGTTGGAGGTGTTGAAGGTTTAGGTGTTGGAGGTGTTACAGTACCATTATTATTAAAACATTGAGCTTGATTAGGATCAACACATGTTCCATGCGGTAAACTGAACTGCAAATGCAATGGACAATTTTTAACCTCAGCAATACCATTTTTACAGTGGCAATATTTATCACAAAGTTCATGAGCCACTAGAACAATTAAATCTGGATTACTATAAACAGGACACTCACTCGCACATTCATTAGACACATTAGGAGGCCCGAGCGTTGAAATAATTCCGTTAACGCGGTCACATTGAGCCTCTTCTGGCTCTAAGCACATTCCATCTTCAAGACTAAAGTGAAAACCTTCCGGACAATCTTTGGTCCATGGTACTGTGTCGTTGCATCGGCAAAATTTGGTACAATCTTCGTGAGCAAGCAGGTGAATTTGGGGCAGCTCATTACTAGGACAATCTCCGATGCAATTCAGAGCCTTGTCATGGCAGTCGGTTAATTGGTTGGCGCAGTAGGTATTATAGCGAATTCCTGGTCTTGAATTAAGATACAATTTTTTTGACTGCATTTTTGGAGGATTTTCTGGATCTTGAGTCACTTGAGAAGTAATTGGAGTTGATGTTAGGTCCGTGCAATTAGCTTGCTCGGGGTCTGCACAGGTGTTGAATTCCAATGAAAAATGCAAATTTGCTGGACAAGGCATTTCAATAGGTCGGCCGTGATCGCACACGCAGTATTTTGAGCAGTTGATGTGAGCCAAAAATATTATTGAACTGTTTATCGGTGTTTGGAGGGGACATTTTCCGATACACTCTTTTAAGGCCGTAGTTCCGCCGCAAAAGACAATTAATAAAACTATAATGTTAATAAATAATTTTTATAGTTAATATTTGATAAATTTGATTATTTACACTGAAAAAAAATTTTTTTTTGAGAAAAAATTGACATTGTTGTGACAAGAAATTAACTCATTTAAATTTTTTTTAGAAAAAAAAATTTTAAATAAACAACTTGCAAATTTGTATTAAAAATTATTGTTTCCTTAATTTAGCAAACTTTTTTTACAACAATAAAATTATTGAGAGAAAAATTTTAATATCTTCAGCTAAGAAATAAAATTTTTAAAAAATTAATTTTTTACACAACATTGCTCATTTTTTTCAAAACAAATGTTTTTTTCCTTATTGTAGACTACTTACTGATAATAAATCGCGACATAATAAAATATTATCACGAAGTAACTCAGACAATTTCTGATAAATAAAATTTTTCTTTTCTCTTTTATATATCCCCAATCACTTAAAATTAACTGATATAATAAAATATATAGAACCACACAAATAATGGTATTGATGCGATTTATTATCTTTTAAAAATTACTCCGATCATTCTATAAGTCACGGACATCCATTTAATATATCTTGATATTAATTTGTTAATGATAAATCATATCTCGAAACTTTATCTAAGATAATCAGCTTCCCAAAACTAATAATATAAATCCTTTTTCTATTTTAGGCCTGATAACGACACTCAAATTGACACTGTACTCAAATCAATCAATTTTATTTTATTTTTATTTATTTTAAAATTATGAATCGCATTATGGGGCTGAGTGATAACATTGGCTCAACGCTGGCGCTTATTGTTCTAACGACGTGGATTTTTGGGTCAGGAGTGACTTGCGATGAGCCTGAGACCATGTCTAGACCCACGAGGCCGAAAATGATGGCCAATTCCGATGAACTGAGGAAATTTTTAGACGTTGTACGCGATTATTATACTGTCAGTAGTAAAGCAAGGTATTTTTTTTTATAATTGTAGAGTTAAAAAAAAATTCTTTTGATATCTTTAATAAATAATAAACTCTGGAATTTATTAAAGAATAATAAAGTAGTTTACTTAGCTTGTGAAAGTGTTACTTTAATATTTGTTGTTTGATTATTGTCGTAGGTATGGAAAAAGGGGAGTAATCCCAGCGATAATTGTTCACGATCGTCCCCACACACGTGTGATTATTGATTCACTGATGAAAACACTTGAAAGTGTTAAAGATAAACATCGAGAGCGAGAAAAAGTATTTAAGATTGAAAAAACAGCCGGCACCGGGCACAAAAGATACCATGATAATCGTGTTAAGCAAGAAAATAAAAAAAATATAAATATTCATACGAGAGTATTATTTAATTCATTATTACGACGATGGTTATATCATTTAAAAAATTAATTTTAATTTTTTTTTTGATAATTAGAAATTTTAATTGACTTTGTGCCCTGGCTATTGTGCAAATTGATTTAAAAACAATGAGTATTTAAATTAAAATAAAGATTTATTTGTTAATTATTACAATTAAAAATATTTTTACCATTAATTTTATTTAAAAAAATAATACAGATTTAATTAAAAATAAAACCAATTTTAAAATAAAATAAAGTGATATTAGGTATACGTATTCATATACATATATTTATAATATATATATATATATATATATA